TTTCATATTGCAAAGAAAGATGTAAGGAAGGCAAAGAAGTTGTTAGATTTTCATAATGATATTGGAGGTTGGAGAGTAGAAAGAAATAAAGTCTATGAACTGGAAACTGATTACAATTGGAAATTTAATGAGTTAGTAAAAATACCAACTTTTGAGAATGAAACAATACCGATTGAAGATGAGTGGGATGTTGAAAGCATCTGTAATAAGATTGTTGAAAAAAGAAGAGTTATGATTAGAGCAAAATTTGCTGGGAGCGGTAAAAGTTGCATAGGCAAGTATATGGAAAATTTAGGACACAATACACTTTTTTGTAGTGCCTCAAAATATGTTAAAACAAGAGGTTGAATGCGAAGCGGTGACAGTAAATACATTCTTTAGTATTCCAGTTGATAAAGGGGATGACCTACCAAAGTTTGATTATTCAGATTTTGAATGTATAGTGTTTGATGAGATTTATATGTCCAGTCCTTACATATTGAACAAAATAAGGGTGTTTGCAAATAACAATCCTGACATCGTAATTATAGGTGCCGGTGATGTCAAGCAACTGCCACCGATTGAACCTTTCACTAATACTCAAAATGCAGGCGAATACATTGACAAATGTATTGACATTATTTTTAAATATAATATATGTTTAAAGATATGTAAGCGAGTAGGTGGTAAGGATACAGAAGAAGGAGAAAGAAACAGAAAGAAACTGAATGAAATCTATGATGACTTTTGGATTAAAAAGATGGCAGTTGAAGAATGGATAGTTAAGCATTTCAAATTTACTAAAGATGTTATGAAAAGCAGGAACAACATAGCATATACAAATATAAGATGCGAGGCAGTATCAAATGAGATTAGAAAACGATTAGGTAAAACATGCAAATATGAAATTGGAGAAATCTTAATATGCAGACTTTACAAAAAGGACAAGGAAGGAAAACTGAATGTTAATATTAGGTGGAAGGTTGTTAATAACGAAGGATACAAGATAACAATACAAGATATTAAGGATGCAGAGAACATTAGAACACTTGACATTGATATTGTAGATAAGCATTTTAGATATGCCTACTGTGCTACCACTCATAGCAGACAGGGGACATCAATCAGTGATAATATGACCATTCACGAATGGAACAAAGATTATTTAGTTTGTAGGGAATGGTTGTGGACGAGTATCACACGAGCGAGGGATTTTAACAATGTCTATTTTTACAAGAACAAAGAGGGAGATGAAGATATGTTTAAGAGTTTGGTAATCAACTATTTTAAAAACAAAGTTGAAGGATATAAACAGCAAGATAGAGTAGCAAAAAGAGAAATAGACGAAGAGCAATACATTGACGAAAACTGGTGCTTAAAATACTTCAAATCCTGTTGCCAAAACTGCGGAATTAAATTTAATCTAGATACAAGAGGAGGAAAAATAAGTTCTAACTTCACTGCTCAACGTTGTGATAATGAGTTATGCCACACAGTTGAAAACTGCACCGCCTTTTGTGTCTATTGCAATTGCAGCGCGTCATGAATAATTTTGAAAATGAGTTTTTCAAAATTATTTTATTAACTTAATTAATGAGTTCAACACAAGAAATTATTAAGAGTGTATATTATGATAGAAGCGGTTATGGTTCAAAACAAACAACCCTCAAGGATGCTAAGCAAAAAGATAGTAGTATTACAATAAACGATATTAATGAATTCTTTAGTAAGAATGTAGAAGAAAAAAGAAAGATGAGAGGTGAAAATAGTTTTATTGCTCCGCATAGTTTCTGGGAATTTCAAGTTGATATGTTTTTCATTTCTAAAAATGATTTGGAAAATCAAACATTTAGAATTGGAATGATATGCATTGATATTTTTAGCAAATATATGCATATCGTGCCAATTAAATCCAAGACACCGCCAGACATTTTAGCAGGAATGATGGAGAATATCAATAAGATGGGTGGCAAACCGAAATTAATTTATACCGACGAGGAAGGCAGTTTTTTTAATCAATCAGTATTAGATTATTTGAAGGAGGAGAAAATTGAATTACATAGAACTAGAGGTCATCCAGCATTTGCGGAGCGTGGAATTCAGACTTTTAAAGATCAACTGTTTAAACGAGTTGAAGCGGACAAGAAAAATGGAAAGCAGAATATCCAATGGACGGATTATATTTTTGAAATATTATTAACTTACAATAATAAGATGGTGCATTCTGCCACCCGCTTTGTTCCAGCACAGGCAAGATTAAAAAAGAATGAATTTGAGGTAAAAATGAATATTACAATGCAAAAGCAAAGAAAACTAGAATGTATCCAGAATTAGACGTAGGAAGTAATGTAAAAATAATGAGGAAGAAAGGCATAAGCGAAAAGGCACATACCAGTCATTGGTTAAAAGAAGTATTTAAAGTAAAATCAATTGATAGTAAACTAGGACAATCTTACTTTCATTTGGAAGGAAAAACTAATCCTTATTTGAGACACGAATTATTGAAAGTTTAATATGAAACGAAATACAGTTAAAGAAAAAACGCCTTATAATATTAGTGAAATGTTGTTTAACTATAACAAGTGCGAATGCTGTAAATGCAAAATGAATGATTTGAGTTTAACCTTACATCATATACTACCGGCAAATGTATGTAATAAAATAAGTGAATATAATGTATATTGCAATCAATGCTGTATAACAAGAGACCTTGAAAAGTTTTTTCTTGAAGAACATAAGGATAAGGGATATACAAAGTTTCAATTACAGTTAAAATTCTTTATGCGACACCAAGCAAGATTTCCTATACACTTTTACCAGAAGATTTCCAGAAAGTCATTTGAAAATGAAATTGATGAATTCTTTAATAATATAGATTTAATTAGGAGGTTTGGAGGAATAAACGCAATTAAACCATATAAAGCATTTGTCAAAAAATACCGTTATTTGTTTGAATGGATTGACTGGCATTTATTAGACAAAGATAAATAAATGAAGTCTTGAACGAATTTAGAGTAACTGAATATAGTATATGGTATTACTACAACACTAAATATAAAGTATGTCTATTAGTTAATTTGTTTTTCTGGGAATATATTTATTCAATAATAGGAAAAGACAATATCAAATATATAGATGAAGATGATATAGGTAAATATGTAGATTACATATTTGAAGACATATTGCCTGACTATTATTTTAACCCATAAACCTTACAATAAAAATAAATTGTAAGATTTATGATTTCAAAATGACTTGAAGAAATGATAACTTAATATATTATAGCGGAATGAGTGATACAGTCGGTATCAATGCTAAAAATATATTGAAAAACAAGTTTATGAGTTATAAATGTAAAGACTGTGAAATGCTCAAATTACCAATTGAACGGGGTTTTGCAAATGGCGTTTGTAATAATATTTGTCAATACATGATATGCAATAATTGCAATAGAATTATAAAACAAATTGATGATATGAATAACAAAGATATTGATATTATACATAATGAAACTCTTGATGATGATTTAGAAATATTTGTGTTTATTGAAATGATTAATTTCTTAACTATAGAAGGGTTTGATCATTTATTAGAATGTGACGACGAAGGATATAATAATGAATTTATTTTTAAGTATTATTGTATGGTAAAAAGATTATACAATATGTCTTTTAATATTAAACGTTTAAAATACGTTGTATTGTTTGATTTTTTAAATGAGTTTTTAAATAATGAGTATAGAATTGACGAACTTAGATATACAATCACACATGCAATTACAACAATGAGATTGTTTAGAACAAAAATAGGAAGTAATATTTATAATGAAACAACGTGTGATAACATAATAGAAAGACTTAAATTAATAATTTAGTTTTAGGCGAAATAGTCCTAAAGAAAAAACACCTGATATTAATAGTGAAGAAATGAACGGTATTGAAATCAATAAGTATATTAATAAGAAATGCTATGACTGTTGCCACTTTAAAAAAGAAAATATGGAATTGTATAAATTAAATTTACCGAATGGAATAATAAATAATATTATTGATTATTCAATGGATGAAGAAGATGTATGTAGAACTTGTAGAAGATGGAGACGATATCAAAATATAATGGAAAATATTTTGGAGATTAAAAAAATAGATGAAAGAAATGTAGAAGATGACATCTTGATATTTCTAACTGTGTATGGAAGACCACCTTATAGTTATGTTAGAATATTTCTGAAAATAAGTAAGAAAAAATATAAAATGATTGAAGGTATATTATGGATGTTGACTTATCATAGTAGGGAAGGGTTTGATGTAAAAGAAGACATTAAAACATATATTGAAAGAAAAAAGTTTAATGTCAAAAACTCAGTTAGAGATATTAATATTATTTTTAAAATAATGCATGAAAGAAGTAAAATATATTTACAACTTAGTAGTCATCAATTAAATTATTATCCTGAACTTAAACTATAAATTACACCATAAACCTTACAATAAAAACACATTGTAAGATTTATGTTTTGAAATTATGGGGATTTTGGGATTTGGGATTTTGGAAAAATATATTTTGGGAATTTGGGATTTTGGAAAAATATATTTTGGGAATTTAGAAAAATATTTGCAAAATTTATGTATCAAATCTTGAGTTGAGGTTCTGTTATGAAATGATTAAAAAATATTATGTGAATTGGTCGGTTGAGGGGATTTTATCCAACTGGGGGGTCCCCTTAGGTAGGTCTTAGGCCCCCGAGCCAAGAACGAAGGTCCAAGTTGGGCGGTTCAAAACACAAGTCCCCCAAATGGGTCTTCCTTTGGAGGACCCCAAATTTCTCATGTCTTCTTCCCAAGCCAAAACATGGTCCATTTCAGCCATTGGGGTATGGGTCAAACTTAAACCACCGAAAAAGCCCGCAGATCTGTCCATGTCTCCATCCACCAGGCCCTCCCTTTTGGGGGGTTACCCTTTCTTTGACCCCCTTGAGCACCTCCTTCAGCATCCCTTGTGGCAACCCAATGCGACCCGGCCTGCGTCTCCGGCTCCGGCGGCGGACGAGAAGACGGTCTCGGCAATTCATGGGGCGGGAGAACTTGCGATCGCTGCGAGAGGTGGGTATGGGTCAAAATTAATCCACGGGACAGCAGGTTTTAGTTGTTTGTTTACTAGGGCAACCCATTTTGGGGTTACCCAATGAGTTGGAACCGTTGCGGGATTGTTTAGGAAACCAGGTGGATGGTTTATAGGGGTCAAAGATGAAACCCTGGCGGAAGAGGTCTCACGCCACGGCTAAGTCGCGGTCCGAGCCAAATGGAACGCCTCAGTGATTTGCTCTGAGCCCGCGAAGGTAAAGCTGTCTTTCCGCACACTAAGCGTCAATGCCTGGTCTGGACTGCAGGTGTTGGCGTTCGCATCCTGAGCACCGGCCATGCAGTCGTCTTAGCTGCAAGAGACACACGCTCCACCCTTGAGCAGTTCCGCACTGTGTCGCGTTGATTGGTGATCCATGGTCAACTACGTAGTACCATCCAAACACCAAAACTACATCTGCACAAAGCAAACTAATGCACCGGCACCAGCATCCTGCACAGGCACCCCAAACAACATGCTGAGTAGTACGTCTCAAAGCACTCTGTTTTCGAGACTCCAGTCACGTCCCCACCAGCTTGGTTGCAAATACTTTCAGATTGTTGTTCAAAGTTCACTATCAAGCATCGCAATGCTTATGCATGCAACATACATAGCTGTTTTGGTGGGGAGATCTGCAGTTCAGTATGGTCGTCCTCCCTTGAAGCACGCTCAGCAAAAGGGATTTCTGAGCAATGTCAACCGGTCTGCCACAAAAGGAGGAACAACACGGCACGGTCGGCTTTCTGTTGCGTCCCTTCAATCACCATCCAAAAGGACTCCCAATTTTCTGCAGGGGTTTGTTGCTCCATTCAGCCAAGCCACTGCGGGACTCGATGGCGAGAGCTGTCCGCGAAAGGTGGCCGAAGCTACCCGGCCTCCTCGGGGAAAAACAACGCAACAGCCCATTGGATTGTCAGAGGCGTTCGTGTGAACCTGTGGTAGAAAGTCACCAACCCATGGGTTGACTAAGCATGAGTTATGGCTTAAGAATGGGAAGCCAGACACGTTTGAGCCTGAAGTGGAACGAGCACCTGTATTCTTGCTGTATAGGTTCATGCATCCAGCTTCTGAGATTGACTGGGCGGTAGTGTAAGCTGTGGATGTCTTGTTTCTGCCGCGTTTGGGTTTTGAGAAACCAAATAATCAAACATAAAGCTTTTAAAAGGCACAACAACATGGAAACCAGGGCCGCGCACCCGACACCTGTACCACTTGGGCATTGTGTATCTCTGTAGCGGAAGCGTGTCCAAGAACCTATCGGTCCCTCGGATCCCTGGGGCAAAAAACTATGAGTCCAATCTCACAGAAATTGTTGCTCCCACGCCTATGATCCGTCCTTGTCGTCCTCTTGCGCCTTGCGGACTGGTTGGAGGTGATGGAGGAACCAAGAGCTTGCCATCGCCCTCCTTCGCGAGGAAGCGAACACTGGCAGCTCACTCAACGACCTGGCCTCTGTTGGTAGCACGATGCTTAGACCTGCAATGCGAATCAGCTGGGTGTGTGCATGTGTGTGTGTGTGTTCTCAGCGGGTATCCTTTTCAACTTGGTTTCACAGGGAAACCAAAGGAAAACCCGACCATTCTTGGGGTGCCCCTAACACAGGCGTTAAGCGTGTGATGCTCTTCCTGCCAGAGCGTGGTTGTCAGAACCTCAAGTGTCACAGTACAGTGCAAGCCTGTGTGAACCTGTCTCTCCACATCCGCCAGAGAATCCGCAGACCTCGTTTGCGCTTAGCAGTAGATTGGACATGCTCTACCAGCGTAGCCAAGCAGCATGGGTCGCGGGATGGGCGATGGATCCGCCTGACACGTCAAGAGAAAATCCGTTTGTCGGGCTCAGGACACAACGGCCTCCAGCGGGCCGCTCTTTGATCTGCAGGGATCTGGCGGTGCCTGAAAACGCCGGCCCCACTTGCCTCTGCATGTCATATGGGAATGCGTCAGAATCCACCAGAGGACTGCAGGTTTTAGTCCTTTGTTTCCAGTTACCAGGGTTCCATTTTGGGCACCTATTTTTGACCCACAGCCATATATAGGAGCCTTAATCAGGGTTGTCCACAAACCCTAACTTCAGACCGCCCCAAGCAAAACAGCAAAGAGGCGATTTGACGCTCGTTCCAGGGGCGGCGCCGATGATCCTCTCGCAAGCGTAGCCCGCTCCGCCGGCGCAACAGGAGGAGTGGGTAGGACTGCCGGCTGTATGCTGACCTTACGGCTGGCTGGCTACCCAATTGCATCATGCACGTGCAACCGGGCCGCTTGTACTTGCGGCTGCACTGATTGGCCAGATGCTTGCATTGCCACCCTGCAAATGCCGTGTACACTTTGGTCTGCCTCCCAGCATCTGATGCCCTGCCTTGCCATCTTATCCATGCCTCGGCCCACAGCCAATGCCCGAAGACGGCGTCATGCGAGGAGTTGCGCCTTCGCAAGCGGCCTCCAGGTCTTCCACTAGCTTGATATCCTGGAAAGCGGGCCGTGCGGCTGCCACCATGTCGTTGCAATTGTTCTTGAGGTGTCCTCTTGACTTGGCCGTGCCCTGACCCTCGCGAAATACCCTCGCTCCCGCCAGCAGTGAACTTTGAACATGTACGCAGGCAACGGTCCTGGTTCTGTTCAGGCGAACCGGGGCCCGACGCCGGAGGGCTGCCTCATATGTTCAAAACCCCAAGCGGCTGTCTGGTTTCACAAATACGGGGACTTCTCAAAATAGGGCACCCCGTTCTTTGGATGGGTTGACAGGAAAACCAAAGGCTTACCTGGAGAGGTCCCTGATTTTGAGCAACGTCTGTTCCGGAGCTCGAGCTTTGACACTGTCAGGTTGCCGGTCCGATGCGTAACCGCCCGCCACACCGAGCCCGGCACTTTCAGCCTGTGCCCACAGTGAGAGAGGCATGAAGCGGCCACTGAAAACGGAGGATGATGCCCTCTTGTCAGCTCCTGGACATGTGCAAAAGTCGCGTTCCTGGGCATTGCTCCGTGAACTTGCCTTGTTTGTTTGCTCCATATAGGCGGGTTTGCAGGTGCATGTGTGTGTGTGGGGTATCTTCACTTGGACTTGGTATCCGAAAACCTTAAAATCAAAAGCAAACGAAACACAGCTTCAACCAGGGCACCCTAGAGCACCGTGTCCTTGTATGCGCCTGCAGTATGCTACATATATAACGGCTGATCGCTGATAAAACAACCCAAACACATGGAAACTGTGCTGCGGGTTGAATACATGACAGATACCCGACAGCCAATCACTCACGTCTCCATTTGGGATCTTAATAGCAACTTATTGACAGCAAGCGCCAAATGAAAGGACTCTCAAAAAACTAAGGTATCAACGTGACAACAACTGAGCCAGTTCCCCTCATTCTAATTAAATCCTTAATAATAACAATAATGATAATAATAATAATAATAATAATAATAATAAAAAAAAAAAAAAAAAAAAAAAAAAAAAAAAAAAAAAAAAAAAAAAAAAAAAAAAAAAAAAAAAAAAAAAAAAACGGCTGGAAGCGTCACCCCAAGGACTCAGCCCGACATGTACGAATCCAAGAAAGCTTTCTCCTGGTGGCGCAGGCTCTGGACTTACCAAGGTGGCCAAAGCTGCTCCTCCGCGCGCTGAGACAAGGTGGTTTTGGATGATTTGGGCTCGTGATGGACGTGATTTACGTGGATTGGGGTGGTTCCATGTGGCTGTGGGTCAAAAATATGTACCCAAAATGAAACCCTGGTAAATGGAAACATCACTAAAACCTGCGGTCCCCTGGTGGTTTAATTTTGACCCATACCCCAAAATCGTAGCCGTGCCAATGTGAACCATTGGTTGAATGGAACAGCACGTCATCGATCAGCCACAAAAGCTTTTATGATCCCGTCATGCGAGAGGTTCTGTAGGGGAGCGTACCCAAGTAGTGCCGGTGACAGCGGCTTGCCACTTCGCTCTCAAAAACGGAGGTACCATGCTCACGTCGAAAAACAAAAATGAACTTGCTGTGGGATGATGATGACCATGATGATGATTATTTGTAGGATGATGATGATTATCATTTTTATTACAACACAGTTGCATTCCTCCAAAGACAAGGCTAGATTCCTCCATTGATTCAGCAGCTCGTGACTTAACCATGAACGTGCGCGCCGCTTTGATTTCCTGTGACCGCTGCCGAACTGCGGTTGAGGCACACGCACGTAAACCACTTCGTTGTCACTGCGTGGCCAACCACGGAAAAGCCAGAAAATAACGTCTGTATTATGCCACTCTCTTGTTGAATTCTAGCTTTGTTTGGGGGTTCAAATGCTTCACAGTCATTGTCACGTGGGGCTTATCTTCCGAAAGTTTTGTTGTTCCTTATTGCTTATTCCACACGCTTCAACGTACAATCCAGATTGTAGCGCCGTGGTTGTTTTGGTCCAATTGGATCAAATTGCTTCAACATTGCTTCCACACGCCTTAGCGCCTGCACACATGTTCAATGCACCATGCACATGCTCAATGAGCATGCACACAAAACCGCGGTCGTGCAAAAAAAAAGGGAGGAAGTCACGACAGCGCCAGCTCAAGCAGTCAGGAAATCTAACAGCCTCATCCGCTTCATCAAGTTGAGTGGGTGCTGAGGAATGCCTTCAGCCGCAACCCTGCCTCCTGTGGAGAAATGGCTGCCGGCCGCTGCCATGGCCGATCTGGCCCCAGCGGCCGCTCCTCAGCTCAAACCGGACGTTCCTAGTACCAGGAACGGAACATGCCAAAAACGGTGGGGGGAAGGTTAAGCAGTTCGCTTCCTTCAAAGGTCATCTGAACAGTGTCCATGGGGATGAGCACAATCATCATCGTTTCTTTTTTGCACTCATGGCCGTCAGACCTGATGCGATAGCAATGCCCTCCTCTGGATGCCGATGGGGATGGCAGTCCCAGGCAAGAAGCGCTGCTCGTGTGGTGTGCCTCTGACACCGCATCGCCAAAACTTGCAAGCTTAATGAATTCGGGCAGCGGGGCCTTGCCCTGATTGGTTCCCACTCATGCCAAAGAGAGCCAACGAAACAAACCGCCAAAAAAGGCCTACACAAAAGAAAGACTGCAAACATCCTTCTGCCAACTTCTCGAGATCCGGGCGCCTCAGGGAAAGGTATTGGCTGCCAATCCGAAATCGGGGCCCGGCCGACTCGCGGCCGACTCGCGGCCGGCTCAGGACCCGCCGAACTTGGCGCTGGCCTTGGCCTCCGTCTCCTTACCAGCGCCTTGGTGGCATCCAATCCCTCCGCCGCCTTGCTCTTCACGTCGTCCATGGCCGTGGCCGCCGACTCCGGGTCCGTCGGGTCCGTGGGCTTCGCGGGACCCTTGCAGCTGCCCACCACAAACTCCGTGGTGGCCTCGTAGCCCTGCACCGTCTTCTGCTGCACCGTGGCGCAGCCCTGCTTCAGCTGATCCCAGAGGCTGGGGCTGGGGCTCACCGCCTCCTGCGCCGCCGCCGAGGTCTCCGAGACCTTCGCCTGGGCCGAGGCCAGGCCCTGCTGCGTGGCGTCCGAGGCATCCGAGATGCCCTGGGCAACGCCCGCCTGCATCTTTGCCAAGGTCTCGTTGGCGCTCGACATGGCGCGAAACTGAGCAAGGAATGCGAGTCTACAAAAGAGCAGCAACTTGCGGAAGAGCATGATCATCATCATGGTCAGTGGCCAAACCCTAAGAAGGCCATCCTGTTGATGGCTTTGATGGGTTGGTGGTCCAAAATAGCCAACCCCCAACAAGAAAGAAAGCAGCCACATGTCCACTCCCAACCGCGCATTGCTGGGTCTGATGCACCCACAAAGATTGGCCCGAAGACCACCAACACGATGCGGCAATGCATTCCAGGTATCCGCAAATAACGTCTTGGCCCTTTCAAGTGGAACTTGTTGAATGGTCATGGCTTCAAAGTATATCCAAGGTTGTGACCCCCTTGTTTCAATTTTGCTGTCTTGTCACATTCTCGTGCTTACAAGACCATACTGATAGCTTGAGCTTCAGGTGGCTTGCCTTTAGCTTCACGGCCAAGTTTGGTCCGCTGTTGACGTGTCGCTGGGCAAGCTGCTGGCTGCTGCGGCGGCAGCGGCCGCCGCCGCAGTCCTGGTGAGGGATGGGGATGAGGCAAAAAGGGAGTAGGAAAGCAAAAGGGTGTGCATTCACCCCCCCCCCCTAGTCTGGTCAAAACGGGAGAGCAGACCATTGCACCAATTTGTGGTGCATCGAAGCTCGTACAACTTGCCCTTCAGTGTTCCATGAATGTTCTACCAAGAATACGCTTTGCTTGAGGCAAGCTTCCTTCAAGCAAGATTGCCCATGGTTGGATGCAGTTTCGTCCCCTTCCGGCAGAACGGGCTGTCTCAGAGTTGGGGAGCTATCCATTCAGTCTCCCTTTCAAACAGCCGCGAAACACGGGTCCAAAACTGCCGCCACTTGGACATCTCAAAAGATCAAAAAAAGTCGACACGTTTGGACAAACATGTCAAATCCAAATGAGGTGAGTTGGGGAGCAATCCAAATGGCTGGGTCATTAAAAAAACGGAAAAACATGGTCATGGGTCAAAACCCCGTACCCGCAGTGAACATCCCAATCCAACCACTAAAATAGGTTCTAAAATGGGTGGTGAATTCACCTACCCCAAAATGGGA